AAAAATGGATAAAGGCATATCCTTTGTTTCTCTAACCATTTTGAAATCTGTTTATCAATTTCACGCTACTCTGCGGGGGTAGTGAAATAGTGATGCAGGCATCCATTCAGTTATGTTTAGCAATTTTTGTAAATTGTAATAATAATCTGAAATAGTTATTTACTCTTATGCTTCCATTCAGTCATGTTTAGCCTTTTTTATGTACATTATAATATTAAAAAAGTATTATATGAAATTAACTTTTCATCTAAATTAAAACATCAATCTTAGATACTTATTTACTACAGTCAAAAGTCGTTAATTCGGACACCCATAATCCGGACCTCAAAACTACAAACTTTCTGCGCACGGGCGTTTATGCGTGCGCGTAAGACATGTACGGCTGCGAATATGCATGTGCGCATTCGTAAATGTATTATGCGCATGCGCACATGCAAATTCATACATTTATAATACGTTTATGCATAATACGTTTACACATGCGCTTTTAATGTATAGCGTACGGTATAAGCTAAGCTAAAATTATCTATTTCAGTTCATATTGCAGATTGTGTTGTTCCTTAATCTTTGAATTGGATCCGGCTTATTATTTTTTGCAGACTGTTTTATAAAAGTAAGCTTGAACTTTCTATTATCTCAAATAGAATTTCCGATATATATTTACTAATATGTTAAGGATCTACAAACGAAAGTATGTTTCGAAGTCCATTAAACAAAGTGGAATAGCTGCAAAAAATGGATAAAGGCATATACTTTGATTATCTAATCATTCCGAAATATGTTTATCAATTTCACACTGCTCTGCGGGGGTAGGGAAACGACGCGGCGCGCAATGAATTGGAAGTTGATCTGTCAGCACTATCCTTATCTTTAGGGCAGATGTTTTTATTTTATTTGGCTTATAATTCCTTACTAAATGTATTTCATCTCGATGTACTCTGTCTTTGATATGATTTAAATCAAGTTCCTCGTCATTATAATTCACTTCCGATAGTGAAGAAAGTGACACAGAGTTTATTGAAAATGAAAAAATTTCGATTGACAACTTAGTCGGTATTCTCGACACAGCAATTATAGGACTTGAACAGCGGAACTTTGTAACTAAACAAGAAATTATGTCTGTTTAATAGAATTAAAGAGAAAGTATTATTACATGAAATGAAGCAACTTAAACAACTTACGTTGAAAGAAATGTTTAATAAAGTAAACAAATAAATATTAAGCTTTTTCTTTTTGTAAATTTTGATACCCTTTAGATCGTAATTGTTCTTTATTTCATAAATTACGGTTTCATATTTTTAATTTTATAATTTCTGCATGCCATCTTACCAGATTTATACTGATGATCTATAATATGGAAAAATCGATAATCCGGAAACACAGAAGTCCCGACGAGTCCAGATGAAGACTTTTGACTGTATTATACTTCCTTTCTTGCGTTAGAGTTGCCGCAGTTATTTTTGGCAGCACTGGCATCAACAATAGTTTGACGATTTTTTATGGCCCTCAAAATCGAATAGTACCGAAAGAAAAAAGGCATCTTTTCCTTATTCAGAATTGACTTTGTATAAATGTGTAAGAAAATCATAGAAAGGAATTAGCCGCCAAAGGAGCATAAAATTTGGAATATTTATTTAAGTATTATGTTTTACATAAAAATTATATTATAAGCTGTTTAGTAACCTGAATAAAATAAATTTAAGTGACTTTGCCGTTCTTTTGAAATAGCATTACCACATAGCATGAAAAACATCTATTATTTTGTATTTTAAGGTTGGCAGCTATGTATTATTAAGGCTAACCAGGCATGCAAATTGAACAAAAATATTTCCACCAAACATAGCCACTACAGATGACAGTGTTTGTTTTGTTGAAGCTCTGGTTAAAGAGGCTCATTCAGTTGACTTAACGATATTGCTAAGGAACTCAGTAAGCAGTGTGCACGATATCGATCATAATAACTGTGTTATTGGAAGATATGTCTAATCTAGGTGATTAAGCAGCTCATGAAGTTTTAAAGGATTGTCTGTCATGCGTTCATTGTAGTTAAACAAGAAAAGCAGAACCCGACGATTGGATCTTTAGACTCGAATGATTGAGTATTTGAAGAAATGCTTCGATGGTTGTCGATTCACGACTGATTCAGCCATTCAACAGACTTTTGTGATGCAACTTCATTTTTATGTTATTCATTTTGTTTGAAACTTCTAATTGATAGTTTATTGTCATTAGATTTGGGGCAAAGCTAATTTATTTTTGCAGCTTTCCCTTTGTCGGTGTTTGTTTGATTTCTAATCGTAGTTACATTTTTTTTCCACTTGGGTACGATATCAAGTTTCTTACTGATGTATGGATGTATGGTTTAAATGACTGCATTTAATGGTGTTTCAATTACTGCTGTCTTTTTCGGATTGCATCCTGAGCATAAATCACGATATTAGTATATCTTTAATTTTAATCAAGCAGATAATAACTGTCCTTTATTTTTATAAAATATAAAGTCAGATTATAATATGGCTCTTTTCTTTAAAATTATTAGTCCAAAGGGGCAATTTTCCCTAGACTATTCGTTGTTTTCGCCAGGAGGTCGTTTTTACATTTTGCGATGATTCACTACTAGCATTGTTTCACTTTTCAAATTGTTGAGACCAAATATTATTGCCCTCTATTATATTTAAAGAAATTAAATGATGAAGAATCTGCATAAATGTATGTATGTTTCTCTCATTGTGATAAAACAGCGGTACCTAGAGCCATCAAATTTTGAATAACGTAATCCTCCTGCAAATATGGGCATCTGGAAGCCCAAATTTGAAATTTGGAATTTGTTTTATTATCATTTTCATATTTTGTAAAACTTTAACAAATTTTTGATTAACAAACCCAAAGATTTCAAAGTTAGCAACGGCAACGTTGTACAGAAAATTTTTTAAAATCTCTAGTGCATGAGACTGTGTATTGGAAATTCTAAAGTTATGCTCAATTTAAAATTATTTTGCGATATTGCTCTTGAACTGAATTTTATGGTTTAAGTGTGAAGAACATGATATTTAATAATAAAGATAACACACAAAATGCTTAAAAGAAATTGCCCCTTTGGACGCAATTTAAAATCTGAAACCTTTAGGATTTTTTTTCTTTTTGTTTAATTACTAATATTTTGGGAATTTTATTAGTGGTGTAATAAGTATCTGAATCACTAGCACTTGATTAAAACCTTTGCAAATCTCTCAATTCCTTAATTCATGACAATAGTTGTTTAAGGATATTTCATATCAAAGCTTTTTACTTTTACTAACTCTTGTATTTCATATTAATAAAATCAAATTTTAATTATGATAATGAGTTAAAAGTTTATACTGAAATATATTTTTAAATATAGTGTGGTCTTGATAGTTTTCAAAGCTTGCAGAATGAAAGTATTCCTAACCTTAGGCAAAGTAGTTCACATATACTTTGCCTGTTTGACTAAACAGTCAAAGCATGTGAATCTTCTTTCTGCCTTGCATCCTCAAATATACGAGGCGTATTCGGAAACTAAGTACCGTTTTGAAAAAAAAAATAGTAAACAATTTTTTCGAATCCAATTTTATTTTTACATGAAAATACATGTCTTAAACTATTTTTCAACATAGTTTCCGCCAATGATCAAACACACTTGTCATAGCGGGTGACCAGTTTTTGTATACCATCGTCAAAGAAACTTCCCGCCAGTTTCGATAACCACGACTCCACAGCATTTTTCGTGTCATCATCAGATCCAAAGCGCTTGCCACCAAGCTCGCGCTTCATCTGCAGGAACAAGTGATAGTCGGACGGCGCCAAGTACGGGCTGTACGGCGGGTGATCGAACTGCTCCGAATGAAACTGTCGAATTAACGATTGAGTGACACCAGCAGTATGGGGCCGAGCATTGTCATGGAGCAACACAATTCCTTTACTGAGCATTCGTCTTCGTTTGTTTTGAATGGCACGCCTTAGTTTTGTTAAAGTCTCACATTATTGTGCCGCATTAATGGTTTCACCTCTGGGAAGAAATTCAGTAAGCAAAACGCCTTTCCTATCCCAGAAGACAGTGCACATGATTTTTTTGTGATGACATTGTCACTTTGAACTTTTGTTTTTTCGGAGAATGAGTGTGTCTCCACTCCATCGATTGTTGTTTCGATTCTGGTGTAAAATGACACACCCAAGTTTCATCACCGGTCACAATTTGGTTAAAAAAGTTTTCTCCCTCATCACTGTACCGCGTGAGAAATGTCAGAGCACTACCAAGTCGCTTTGTTTTGTGAACATCAGTGAGAATTTTTGGAACCCATCGGGAACACAGTTTGCGATAATTCAAGCGGTCAGACACAATTTCGAACAAAACAGTACGTGAAATTTGTGGAAATGCCTCTGAAAGAGTTGTCATTGTGAAGCGTCTGTTCTCATGAATTGTTTCATCAACTTTCCTTACCAAATCATCGGTGACAACAGAAGGCCGACCACTCCGAGCCTCGGCGTGGCATTTGTTCGACCTGCATTAAACATTCTTACTCACTTTCTCACCATTCCATCACTTATCGCGTATTCACCGTAAACTTCTGTCACTTCACGATAAATTTCGGCCGGTTTAACATTCCTCGTGTTCAAAAATTTAATCGCGGCACGAATCTCACAGTCAGCGGGAGAACTAATTGTCTTAAACATTTTGAATGTGCACAGCAAACTGAAAACACAACATAGAGCAACCAAAATGGGCGACAATTGAAAGTCAGTGAGCAAGAAAGACTAGTGCGCATGCGCGGGATGCCTACCACAGCGCTGCGACGGCGCTAGAATGAAACGGTACTTAGTTTCCGAATTCGCTACGTATATATATTATTATCATTTTTAAATAAAAGCAATTAATTTCTTGGTCATCAAACTTAGAAATTGCATGTAATTGACATTATGTGACAGATGAAAGATGAATTAATTTATTGTGAGTGAATGTATTTTCCCACTTGTCATTTCAGGATGATTGATGAAATGAAGCCTTGCTCAGTTATACTGGAGAAATTGAGCGAAGATGTTATAAATTACCATCTGTCACGAATAGACTTAAATTTTTCAAAGCAAGAACGTGCCAAAAAGAAATTTGCCAAACACAAGTTACAACATATGTCCAAAATAAATTATCATTTGTTTGAAAGGTATAGGGATACAAGACAAAAATTTATTAACAAAGAGAGAAGGAAATCAGAAGATTATGCGGATGAAGATTTTGATCCTGAAAGATATTTCTCAGATGATAGATGTAAAAAGAAAAGATCCAGAAGAAAGCCTGCTTATGAAGATGATTATGACTGGGATCCTTCTGCAGCTAGAGATAAATACGGAAATAAAGCTAATAGATCTACATATTCTCCTAAGAGACTAAGGCGAATTATGAAAAGACCAATTTCTGAAAGTGAATCAAGTTCAAGTGATTTTTTTGATTATTTTCTGGAAGAAGAAAGAGACTTCAATGAAAATGAACCAAGTGCCTCTAGAAGCGCAGGTGTTTCAGTTGGTGATATTTCACAATCAATTAAGAACACACAAATTACCAATGCTACTAAAGACATGGATGGTGACCAGACTGATTTTAATACATCCAAAGTCCTACCACAAGCAATATCAGATTCTAGTTCCTTAAATCTTACTTCTGAATCTTCTAAAAATAATGATATAATATCTAAAATTATCAAAGACATGGATAATCTTAAAAGCACGAAAAATGTAAATAAAATATGCCAACATCCCAATGCATCTATATCAAACAAAGGGAAGCTACATGAAAATGTAGTTCTAAGGCCCACAGGTCAAATGAGGAAGAGGTCAAAAATGCGTAATCCAGATGTTCGTGTTGTGCGGGCTATTATTAATAACATGGTTAACTCTGTGTGTTCAGCTGAAAACAAACGCCTTAAAAATATTGTGAATAATAATAATAAGAAGAAGAAGTGTAGGTGGTGTGCAGCTCTATTTACTTCTAGTAATAAAAATGATGTTTATTGTTTAATATGTAAAGATAGGAAAATTGGTTTTATTGGTAAATCAGTGTACAAAATGCAAAATAAATCAAAGCCAAATGAGAAAAACTTGGGTACAGCTAAGGCTACAAATTCTAAAAATAAAATGATGGATAAATTACGGAAAAATATGCCAAAATATGAAATACAAAGATTAATGTATGCTGATAAAACTGATAAAGCAGCAGTTGAAAAAGGTTATAATCATTGTAAGAGCTTTAATACTTCTAAAGATGGAAATGGTGGTATAGCTACATTTTCAAACCCATGTACATTCTCTCAAGAACAGCAAAGTGACAAAATATCTAATAAGGGAAATACTCAAAAGAAAAAGAATCAACCAAACATTCTAGTAAATGCAACTGCCACCTCAGGAAAAAATACCCTAAAAAAATCTAATCCATCCAAGGCAAAGAAAGTTTCCAAAGGCTCTCCTACACTTATCTTAAGTAGTAAATCTAAAAAAATAAATGAAAGTAAAAAAATAAATGCAAACAAAGTTTGTGTGACAAATGTTGACAAGGGACTGTTTCTGATGACCTTTCCAGAGCCTGATAAAGAACTTGATGTTAATGTTCTTAAAGAGTCCACATTGGAAAATGCAAATAATGTAAACAGAAGCACTGTGATTAAAATGGCCACAGATAAAATAGAATCAAAGAAAGACTTATCTTCTAATATGAAAAATATTCAGCCACCCGGAACAACATTAAAAAATTTACCATTTGGGACATATTTACTGCCACCTGTACCTACAGTTGTTGTTGCTAATTATGCAGCTACTGATGACAGTAATGGGGATTTTTATTTGTCTAGTGTATATTACCAGAATGAAATGACTCAACAAAAAGGAGCAATTGTAGACAGTGTTGTGGTTAGAAATGAAAATCTGAACAATAGCATTGTGCAGACTTCTCTTGCCCCTAGTATGCCTTCAGGTACAGATTTAATTAACATGAGCAATGCTTCTATTTTCCCTGCTAGTCAGAGTAACATTCTGATGCCTGTAGCTTCATTACCAGATGGAAGTTTTATAAAAACTGTCGACATGGTATCAAATTCAGGTATCAAAAGTTCAGAATTGGCTCGACATTTAACTCTGCCAGTTCCAGGTTTAAATCAGATAGCTCATTCTAATGATTCTTTTTCTTCAGATGTTGTAAGTAATGAAAACTGCCATACATCTGAAACTGAAAACTGCTTCAGCTCTGAAAATCAGTTTATCCCAAATGTTCCTAATATGAATTCTGAAATGTCATTGTTTGAAATGAATTCTGAAAGCATAGCTCAGGAACGAGAATCTACAAAGGAACAATTAACTAACAATTTTGATCCAAGTAACACAAATCCTTATGCAGTGTTGGATACTTCTGCTTCAAACTCAAATATTCATGAAAATTTAAATATGACTAGTAATGCAGATAAAGATACTTCTAGCAAAATTGGCCTTCCAGAAGGAAATTCTAGTGTATCAGAACTAGATGAAATGTCTCTGAATTCTGATACTTCTGGTATAAATGCTAATTCATCTGAAAATCTTTTAACTGAAGCATATCAGGAAATTGAAGCTATATCTATTTTGGGTGTCGTAGACTTGGATAAAAATCCTCATGTTATGCTTGCATATAGAATAGAAGTGGTAAAAAAACAATATGAACAGCTTAAAAATCAAAAAGATAAAGTTGTAGATGAGAGACTTGGTGATATTCATTCTCAATATGCGAGCCTACTTAAGGCAAAAGAACTTTTAAATAAATTTCGCTCATTTGCTAGAGTTTCTGAATATTATTTAAGAAAAGAAAAGTTCATACAAATTAAGAAAGAAAAAATGATGGAAGAAGATAATGAGAGACCTGCCTGCCAGTATTCAAAAAATTCTGCTTCAAATGAATTGGCAAATTTTGTGGGTGAAGAATCTGTTTCATCAGCAAGTGGGAAAACTGACCAAATTAATAAATCATATTCACTTGCAAATGATGCATCATCTGTTAATCATATAGAAAAAATTCAGTTTCAGATTGCTGCTATAAATGAAACTTCATCTCCAAGTGACCATGTTCCTGGTAGTGTTATGCATCATTTTCCAGCTCCCAGTAATTCTTCTGTAGTTACTGTATCCACACCAGTTACACCAGGGAATGAACTAGGAAATGAAGCTAGAGAAACTCCTTCAAGAGGCAGTGGACCTAGAACACCAGCTAGGCCAGAGAGTGCAACCTCACAATTAGAAGAAAATATCTTAACACCTGCACAGGTCAAGAGGGAGAGATTAGAAGCTGTAACATCACCATTTTCACAGTGTGCTTATTCTGTTAGCTCTCCTTCCCCTCATTTAACAATTCCTTCTCCTAATGTGCCACAAGTTACCAGTCCATTAGCAAACATGATGCCTGTGAACTCAAATGTTTCTCTAACTGTAAGTAACAATAATTCGCCACAGTTTCAGAATACGACTTATTCTCAAAATAAGGATATTCCACCTAATAGAACAGTTCCTTTTAACACCAATCAAAATTTATCAAAAGTTTTACTGAATCTAGCAGCACATCAGCAACAGATTCAAAACACAAATCCAAATATGAATATAAATAATCCACAAAACAATGTGCTTTTTAATAATGGAAAAGTAATAAATGTGCAACAAATATATCTTCCTGGAGGAGCAAAACGTACACAAAAATTAAATGTTCAACCTGTGCCTTCAGTTTCAAATACAAATCAATACATCCTCAGACAGCCATCTGTGAATACTGCAAATACAAATGGCGGAACTGTACTTGTGAATAATCATGTTGCGTCACAGAAAGTCTGGCATAGGAATGAAGCTAACCCACAAGTCTTTGCTCCACAACAGGTTTCTCAGGTCTATAATACACCGCCTACGCAAATGACTGTCAGTGCATCCCATCAACAAAGTTCATCACCTGCATTTGCTGTGCAAAATAAGGTAAGTGGATATCTTATGTTTAGTATGGTGATGGATGGATTATTAAAACTATTTTGTATGAAATAAATGGATTATTAACAACTTTATGCATAAAATTCCATATCATACCATCCACAATTAATAAAATATTTTGTGTATTATTGTTGTGATATTAGTATTGTATATGGAAGGAGGGAATGCTGTTTCAGATAAATTTATGCAGGATATTAAGTATGCCACATGTGCATGCTATTGTGTATGTAAAGTGATAAACATTCGTTGAAATTTTCTGAGTATTTTGATGTAATGATAGCAAGTTTCTACAATTTAAACAATTTTTAATGTGTAATCATTTGACCTCGTGAGATATGTCATAACATTTCAGAAACAAAGGCAAAGTTTGGATTTTTCATCTGACCATTGCAAGAATTTTGGGCAATTTTTGAACAGTATAGGGATAAAAGTTTGGATAAGGATTCATCAGCTGGCAAGAATCATTTCATCGGATATATTGATTCAGATAGCATCACAATTTCCTTCGCTGATGTATTAATTTACACTGATGCAGGCACTTAGGCTCATCCTGGGTGGAGCACATTGAAGTTGAACATATTTAATTAAATGGGCTTCAACTGCTATCATCCAAATCCCAATGAATGCACAAAGTAGGCATTCACATTGTTCGTATGCATTGCCGCTCACATAAGCTCTGCGATTTGGACACTTGAAGACTTGGAATGAGCAGCCTGATCTGATGAGTTACATTTTCAACAGTTTTAGACAAATGAAAAAATCTGCATGTGGAGAAAATCCATGGATTTATTGATTTGATATGTGAATTGAGAATTTTACTAGCACTTAATGGTATGGACTTATTTAACCTTTTTGCGACGGCGCACCTTTGTTTAAGATGCTCGTGCAGGACGGAAGAGAATCGAATGGAGGTTTCGCATCACCAAGCATAATTTTATTAAAAAAATCAGAAAAATAAAAGTTTCGCTTCTAGCATCGTAATTTTTGGTATCATTTTAGATTATTACTTGAGCTCTTATATATGTTAAAATTAGCACTTAAAATTTTTTTTCCTCTATTTTACATGAAAATATACTTAAAAAATTGCCTATATTGTAAAATAATTTTCGGAAGTGCTATTCAAATTATTCCAAAGTTTTAATTGATAAAATCCATCAATAAAGTTTAAAATTAATAAAAAGAACACAATAAAGACTATTTACAGTAAGAAGTAACACAATTTAAAATGAAAATGAGTGTGGTAAATCTCGAAGAACAGAGAAGTATCACTTTCTAACTTTTAGAAAAAGTATAACATTTTTACTCTTTAGAAAATGAATCAGTACTCTCAATTGCGTTAGTAAATGGTTCACTAAGCATACCAGGGTATTCTTCCTTTGATAAATAGTGCCTTCCCGCCATAATAGACTGGAGGTGAGGCTTTCCTAAATAAAAAAAGAAGGAATGGAAATATATCTGAAGGCAATGCAAAACGTAAAAAAACTCCACACAGTAACCGTAAAAGACCGTACGTAGTAGAGGGAAAAATAGAATAAGAAAAGGAATTGGATATAAATCAGATACGAGAATGTTTTCATTAGTTTTCATTAGCACGCAGCGATTTAAAGAGCCCACCTCTGTTTACGCTTTCCCTCCGCCACCCACCCTCGAACAGCTGATGAGTAAAATACCACAGTCAAGCAGAATATATCAAACTCAAGGTCAGGAACCTAAAACTGTGTTCATTTCAAAAGTAACGGATATAGGATGCCATCTAGTGCCCTCAGAAAAAGTTCCACCTTAAAATGCGTATATGCATCACCCGTCCTCTGAATGCAATCTGTACTGATGCGTGGATGGGACGCCTGGCTGTAAGAGACCTTCTTAGGGAATGCGTATATGGGACGCCCGTCCTGAAAGGGTTAACTGACATTCGGTGACATCCGTAATACAATCAATCGCAAACGTTTGGGACTGATATATGTTGTGTGTTGATCCTTTCTGATGAATTACATTTATTGTCATGAATTCGTAAAGGAGAATGTACAACCAAGCCTCTAAATACATCCAGCTGTATAGTGAGAGGCTGCTGCAAGATCCTAACATTTAAGGTCTTTCCATGGCTACCTAACCCTGCATATCAATATTATTGAGCACATCTTAGATACTGTGTAGTGCTGCATTAAGGAACACTGTTATGACTAGTGCCATACGCCCATGTATGTTGATAGATGAATGGTCAAAATTATATAAAACAATATATTTATTACAATCATCTTAAACAGAAAGAGCTAATAATGCCACTTCTAGAAAGTTAATTTTACAGAAACTATTCAAAATGGTGTAAATTATCAATATAATATTTTGAAAGCGAAAAATGCTCCCCTATTTAACAAGCCAGACACAAAGACAGGACATAATCTTGTAGATGAGCTGGTAGATTTCTTAAAGAGTAAGAAATCTACCAGCTCATTTCTTGCTCTTTAAGAAATCTACCAGTATCTCTGTAAGAAATCTCTTTAAGAATCTTTAAAAAAATCTCTAAGAATCTTTGAAATCTCTTTTCTTACTCTGCTTGTAGTTCTTTGGAATGGCGGTGAAAAAATCTGCTGCTGGCTTTCAGCTAATTTCACCTAGTTAATTTATTCTTTGAACTTCATGAGGGTTGATAACCTGATAAATCAGGTTTGTAATTGTTTTTGAGAGGACAGTTTCAAAGCGAGTTCATTGGATATTATTATTATTTTATTTCTGATTTTTATATTTAACTGTGATCGTAACTTCACTTGCTTCTTCTAGTTTTAAAATGCAATGAAGATGACCAAGTATTTGAGCTATAACTCTGAATTGTCGTGACACTTTCGATTATGAGTTTTAATCTTTTGCTCAAATTTCATTTTGTAATACTTGTTGAGTTTGCATCAAGTTTGATATGAATTTTGCAATTTAAGTATATATCTGCTGGTAACTTTCCACTTGCCAGATTTGCTTGGTATCATTTTAAAAGGATGGGAAGATATCCTTCAGTGTTTGGACATTATTTAAGGCAAGTGCATTGGCTCCTGGATATCTTGGTGCAATAAATTTTCTGTTTTAATCTATTTATATATGAGAAATTTTGGCTCTACTCTTATATTCACCCTAAGATCACCAAATGTGGCGATATATGTTCTGCGCTGGTTTTTGGTGCGGTTGCGGTGCTGTACGGTGGTTTTGGGGACGATGTTGTTTGTATGGCAACCCTTTTGACGTTGAAACTTAGTTCTTTTGCTGCAGTGGTTTAATTACTCCTTGGTTCGTGTTGTGCATGTTTTGAAATGGCCTATGTTGCAATGATAGATGTGGTGGCAAGATTTCAATCTCGTATTTTAGATTGTGTGGAAAGTAAATTTAGTATTAGGTATGATGTTGGAGTTGTTAACGAGTCTTTTGTTCATGGGTGTGTTTATGAGAATCGAAGTGTATTTTTGGAATTTCTGTGGGACTTTTAAAACGGAGTCCGAAATGCAGAGCTGCAGTGAGAACTCGAATGAAGAAAGTTCTGATAGTTGTGTGAATTTCCAGTCAAATGCTTGCTGGTAAAAATGTGGCTGTCAGCAGAGATTTGGATTGTGGTTTTCATGTAGTAAGTTAACTTTGGAGGAAGTTTTTATCATTACTTTTGAAATTTTGAATCGCAGAAAGAGATGTGATATAACGAGATCATGGCACTTTTGTTCGCAGACGTTGTGTGACTGGTGAAATTTTATTAACGAATGTATTATGGTAAGTGCATTTTATTTTACTGTTTTTATTTTGTAGATTGTTATGTTCATTGTTTTTTTTACTGTGAATTTATGTTGTTTTTTGAATTGTTTGTAATTTTAGTTATTTTAGTTTATTTTGTTGATTTGTAGCAATGCTAAGATTGTGCAATTCATAGATTTTGTGTAAAGTTTAAACAGGATGCTGTGTACATGGTATTCTTTGAAATTTATTGTTGTTATGTTAATTTATTAAAACGAGGTGTGCGTAGTTCGTAGCCTAGATTGCGCAATTTGTAGATTTTTTTAAAGTTAAAACATATCGCTGTGTACATGGCTTCTTGTCAAATATTTTTGGTTAGAAATTTTACATTTTTGCTATCTAAATTTTTTGGTTTGGATTTTTGGCTTAAATTGTGTGTTAGAAAGTGAGATCCGTCGAAAGAATAATGGACTGTAATCAATTATAAAGGTTTATTCATCAATAGAAAGGCACAGAGGCCTGAAGGATCAGAGCTGTACACTCTTGCTAGTACTGATGGCTATTACAAAGAAGATGGCATAGGAGCCCAAAGGGAACAACCGACTCTGTTGTTCATGGTCTACAGAAGGTTCTGCTGGTTAAAAAGGGGGGCGTCGCAGCGCTCTGTAGTGAAGATGAATGTTACAACAATAGGATGGGACGGAACATCCCGCCTCGCGTTGAAATATTTATATTTCAATACAACATAAGACTTATAACATAATAAAGTGTATATATAATACTATTAAAATGAGAATTATCCATTACGACATAGTGAATTCTGGGATATAATAGAATAAAATAGCATAAACATTTATACAGTTACAGAAAATTGATAATATCTAATATAATATGATTCTACATTAATGAGGTTCATCAAATAACATACAGTATTATTATTCAATAGGTAGCACGACATATTTTGGATATATGCATCTTTTTGAAATGTGCCGGTAGAGTTCTAACTATAACTACTCTGACCTTTCCATCAGGTCCGGTTATAACTTCCTGTATACGACATGTAGCCCATTTACGAGGAGGCAAATTATTTTCCTTGAATAAAGCAAGGGTGCCAGGGTTTACGTTTATTTTGGCAAACTGCCATTTATTGCGCTGCTGCAAGTGGTTAAGGTAGTCTCGATGCCACCTTTTCCAAATTGACTGAACCATCTTAGTAGTTTTTTGCCAACGAGACAGCCTATTTTCTTTTAGATGCAATACATCAGGTTCTGCCATGGCATTTA